AGCAGGTAAAACACGCGGACAGAGAGCAGGTAAAACACGCGGACAGAGAGCAGGTGAAACACGCGGACAGAGATCAGGTGAAACACGCGGACAGAGAGCCGGTAAAACACGCGGACAGAGATCAGGTAAAACACGCGGACAGAGATCAGGTAAAACACGCGGACAGATAGCAGGTGAAACACGCGGTCAGAGATCAGGTAAAACACGCGGACAGAGATCAGGTGTAACACGCGGACAGAGAGCAGGTAAAACACGCGGTCAGAGATCAGGTGAAACACGCGGGCAGAGAGCAGGTAAAACCCGCGGACAGATAGCAGGTGTAACACGCGGACAGATAGCAGGTAAAACACGCGGACAGAGAGCAGGTAAACACGCGGACAGAGAGCAGGTAAAACACGCGGACAGAGAGCAGGTGAAACACGCGGATAGAGATCAGGTGAAACACGCGGACAGAGAGCAGGTAAACACGCGGACAGAGAGCAGGTGTGTTACTCCGCGTGTTTCACCTGATCTCTGTCCGCGTGTTTACCTGCTCTCTGTCCGCGTGTTACACCTGCTATCTGTCCGCTAGAGATCAGGTGAAACACGCGGACAGATAGCAGGTAAAACACGCGGACAGATAGCAGGTAAAACACGCGGACAGAGATCAGGTGAAACACGCGGATAGAGATCAGGTGAAACACGCGGACAGATAGCAGGTAAAACACGCGGACAGAGATCAGGTAAAACACGCGGTTAGAGATCAGGTGAAACACGCGGACAGGGAGCAGGTGAAACACACGGAGAGTGATCAGGTGGAATAAGCGGATACGGGTCTATACATGCCTATACACACAATGAGGATCTACGAGAAAACCTGAAGCGACCTGCGTGCGCGTGTGTGTGTGCGAGTGCGTGCCTGCGAGCGTATGTGAACAGATTTTGGGACAAACAAACCACCGTCAATATCACATTCGTAAATCTGAGCAATGCAGAGTTTCGGTCAATATAGGAATCTATATATATATATAGGAAGTAGAAAATAGGCAGCCGTGATAATAGGCAGCCGTGAGTGCGCAACTACGCGTGAACACTTAAACGAATAACTGAACGATAGCATCTACAAGAAAATTTATAGCGAGACTATAACTAGGCCTAGGCTACTATATTATGGTTTCACCCGTCATGCACTTGTTACTATGACAGACGTGACCACAGAAATCTCTGAGCGGGTTAACGACAAACGGCGCAGCAACTAAGCATGCATGGCCTCTATAGCTTCAACAGCAGCGGTTTCCAACCCGAGGTGCCAACCCACAGTAACGTACAGCAGCTCTCGAAAGCTGAAGGCAGAGAATACGCACGCGCGGAAATTCGCCGTCTTACACACAGTGCCGCAAAGTGTTACCAGTGCGCACATACCTCGCACAGGCGGCAAATATGATCCTACAACAAAATAGCCCGAGTATGCGTCAACAACATTTTCAGTGTGTGGCCGTTATACGGGACCAGTTACGCACTAACCCGGAACAGGTTTGACCCCCCCATGGTCACGCAGTAAGCCATTTCCCCTTGTGTACCCCGAAGGACTTCAGGTGCATTTTCGTTCTCAGGACAATAATGCAATAACACTTTTGAGAATCGGAAGTTATACTGTCGTTACCGTATGTTTATTATTAAGTAATCAAAAGTTTTAACATTTTGATTAAAAGCAGGACAACTCGGTGGTTGGGCGGTGCTGTTGGTGGTTAATTAAGGGTCGCTACACAAAAGGGTTGGAACCACTTCTCTACGATCTATACGACACGTGATACCGAAATCTACGAATGAAAACTATCAGTGGTCGCTATAGAATAGTGTTCGGGGATGATTCGTGCCTCGCTAACGCTGGAAGGTGTTTCTACATTAGATGATGTACCTTCGCACGGTCTTCTTACTAGGCGACCAACACGCTGGATGCACCGTGAGGGTCATGGCGACCCTTGTTATAATCTGCATTACACATAACATAGCTAATTGTACACGACGCGGTAACTAGTCAGGTGGGTCTAAGCTCACACAGGCATTGCTTTAGGAATATCGCGTCAATAACGGATCACCAAGCAAGGGCCTCGAGCTGCGATGAGAATCACGATTACCAGTCATCGACAACAGTCAAAGATCATGGTAGAGCTGAATTCCTACCATGCATGAGATCGTTGAGATTGCGATAAAAGCACTCAATTTAGCACACGGCCGGCTGCAATCGCCTAGTGTGCCCGGGTCTGCGATTGAGCCGGCCGATTGTACTATTCATCAGCCAATCAGCGTGCTGAAAATCCACAGAGTCGCCCGACTCAGTCGCGTAGTCACGTAGTGTGTCCACAGAGTCGCCCGACTGAGCCGGCCGGCTCGATCGCATGAAAAATCGCGTAGTGTGTCCACAGCTTAAATCATGCATGTGATTGACACCAACGAAATGTACCTTTCAAGGGCTGTGACACCGCTGGCCGCCATGGAATTTTAAAGTGTTTTTCTCATTATCATTTCCTTAATACTATGGCAGCCCACACTACCGCGCTAGCTTCTCCCAATGCGGCCCTAGCCCAACCGCCAGATACTAAGACTATAGACGATCTATGCATCAAACCCACAGGGGCACAGCTGGGTCTGTCTAGTTCGTCTACACAGGCGGGTCGCTTCCTGCACTATTATCTGACCTGCTATAAATTATATATGCCTATAAATATGCTATAGGGGCAGGTTAAATATACCTGCTATAAATTATGCAAAAGTACTGAGAAGCCTCCCATCATCCTAAACCTGAAGGGTAAAATATTAAGCTCAACATCACGATGCAAACGCATCGTGAACGAGTAATAAAGTGCGAGTTAACAGCAGCGAGTCAAGCGGGGTCACGCGACATTTCCCGCGATTATAGTTGCACATTCCCGCAGACAGAGCCATTTCACAGCAATTTTTACAGCGATTCTAGAATCGCTGTCAAGTTGCATGAAAAAATCGCAGCACGTCTGCGCTATAGGCTTTAATCTCGTTTCCTCTGTGTTTCCATGCGTACGGCTACGCATCAATGGGACCGCGTGCTCACTTCACCAAGGTCACTCAAGGTCAGCAGCGAGCGCAATGCCTACCTGAATCCTGCGGGTCGTCGGGCGTGTCCTGCGGCCTCGCGCCGGGGATGTCGCGGCTGCCGTGTGGCTCCCCCTGCTGGTGCTGTCGCTCGTACTCGTAGGGGTCGTACTCTTCTAGTCCGTCTCGGCGCTGCTTGAGCAGCATCTCGAGTTCACGCGAACCCATCGTCTTGAACTGCGTTAACACAGCGAGAGCGTGTGAGGAACAGTGTGACGGGCAAAACAACATGCAGAGAACGTGTGAGGAACGTGTGAAGATGAGAACAATATTCCGAGAACGTGCGAGGAACGCGGGGGAAAGTGGAACAACATGCAGAGAACGTGTAAAGAACGTATGGAGAGTGAAATTACACGGAAAGAACGTTAAGAAACGTGTGGAGCATTGAACGAAATTCTGAGAATATGCGAGGAACGCGTGAAGGGTGGAACAACATGCAAAGAACGTCTAAGGAATGTGAAGAGGATGGAACAACATGCAGAGAAAGCGCGAGGGACAAGTTAACAGTGAGGCTACACACAGAGAACGTAACGGAGACATGCACACAGTGGAACAGAATGCCAAAACCATTTGGAACGTACTCGGAGGAATGTATTGAGACTGTAAATTTCAGCACAAGGTCGACTTTACAAGCATCCCCGAGACGTTTCACAACCTGACATGCTCCACTACAGAAATTCAGCGTTAAAATACCGCCACAGTAAGGTGCACCTGATGTTAACAACGGGTCACGAAAACACGCAGAGCGCGCAAGCAGTTCTCTTACACCGGAAATGTTCTTCTGTACTTCCAACTGGCTGGCTAGTCGCTTTCCCTCCTCACGGCCGCATATTTGCTCCAGCTCCGCTGGCTTCAGAACGAAGAGTTGGGCAGCGGAATGTCCCTCCAGGGCTCGGCATATCCTGACAGAAAGACCAATATGTGTCTAATGAAAACACTTCGCGAACTCTGACGACACACACGTTATGATGATATTATAGATTTATGACGTCACATCTACGATATTTCTCACAACGATGCCTAGAATCGATATCGTGACTCCTAATGATGCGATGTGCAGAAATTATGTCCGTCATCATTACATCGGCAGCTTGGGGTTGAGGTTAACAATCTCAGTCCGTAACGAAACCCACGATACAGAAACTGACACAAACCGACACAGACCTTATGCTTCACGCGGAGCAGGTAGGAAAATCACCCCTGCCGTAGACCCCAGCGCAAAACAGTTTCACTATACATGCTCTTCTAGGAAGCAGGCAGCAGTGCGTTGTCACAATTAGTTCGTCCGTCCAAAATGTCTTATCTTTTGAAATGACTTGCAAAAGTTGCGACATTTTTGACTCATGACATTCGTAAAAGTCTGTGATGTTTCTGACATCAGATACCAGAAGGATAACAGAACCGTCTTTACAACAAACGATGCGACCGCTGTTTATCACACACAATGCGAATAGTATAGGGCCACGCGCGCCAATCGCTCTAGGCAGGAGCACTATAGTAGGCAATCCATTATCCTAAACCCTTGGGACAGATACGTTTCGGAATTCGGAATTTTTCGGATTTCGGAATGGTAGTGCAGTACAGATATACATACCGTATATCAAGCAAATAGCCAGTACTAAAACCCAAGTTTTCAAGAGGTCTAGTGCTGTACCAAACACATTAATATTTCTGCAGTAAACCTTGTGCAGCCAAACGTGAACTTTGGTGTGCAGACAACCGCCAGAAAAATCTTTCGGATTTCGGAGTTTTTGGATTTTCAGAATTTCGGATAATAGATTGTGTACTGTACATAGAAATAGAGACCAGATCACCTACGACGCAACCCTTCTCCCGCGCCGTATTACCCGCTGCACTTACGAGGGCTTGAAGGCCTTTGCCTGCAGCCACTCCTGCACCTCGTGCGAACTGCAGCGAGCGTCGATGTAGACGTTGGGCGCCGCGCGCGCCATCTTGTAACCGCCGTGATTCAGTCGCTCGTTCAGTTCGTCATTGAGCAGGTCGATATCCGAACGAGCTGCAAAACAAAATTCGCGAACGTGCACACGTCTGTTCTGTGAAGCACTGGGTCGGTGTCGATGAGTTCGCAAGCACACGTTTGCGGTTTCACTCGCCTCTTTGAAGTTGCGATCGCGATTATTCGGAGAGGTCCCGCGTCTCTGACGACGCGTGAGCGTATTCAAGTTCGCCCGTAACCTTCGAGGTCATGCCTATCTTTGAGGTCGCGCGCGCGTATTCAAGGTCAAGTGTAACTTTGAGGTCGTGCTTATCTTTGAAGTCGCGCGCACGTATTCAAGGTCAAGTGTAACTTTGAGGTCGTGCGCACGTATTCAAGGTCAAGTGTAACTTTGAAGTTATGCGTATCGTTGATGTCGCGCGCACGTATTCAAGGTTGCGTGTAACTTTGCGGTCATGCTTATCTCTGAGGTCGCACTCGCATATATTCCATGTCGCACGCAAATTTGAGATTAAGAGTAAATGTAACCCAAACCGAATCTTTCGCCACACATTGCAAACATCATCATACAGTAGTTCTACGAGTGTAGTACTACTGTCTACTTCTGTAGTTCATCTACAGCGGACTACCGCTTCCAACGAGAATTATAGAGACTATACCGGTGACATCTTGCCTATATCGTGGGCAAGACTTTTAAGTTAAATTAAATATGTTCTCACCTGGCTTTATCGTGTTAGGCATTGCTCTGGTGGTGGATGGGTCTGATGAATTGTAGTCGCGATAGCTTTCTGTGTGAGGAAACTGAGCAACTTCAGTCATCATGTAAGGCTTAACGATACATGCCACGCTCAGAGGCAGACCGAAGCGTTAACCCACATATTATTAGACCGATTCCCCCAACTCGCTCATATTTATACCTATTATTTTTAAATTTCCTGTTTAATAGGTAATCATTTCATATTTCCAATGGTAACATGTTGCCAGGAATTGTGGCCAACCGTTTATAAATATTTATCAGTTTAGCATCTTATTATTACAATAAAGCGCCTACGATCATCTACCAACGCAAGTGCATGCAACACAAATCAACTGACAAGTGTAGTAACAGTTTACGCATAGCAGCAGCATGCAGACCTACGTCTACATATTTCTACGTGCTCACGGATAAGAATTGAACATTTGTGTGAAGTAGAAACGTAGAATAACAGATGCACCGTGTGACATTTCCAACCTTGCAATTATATCACTGTAACAATGAGCGACAAACGGAAAGCATCTCCGTAGGTGCTAAACTTGTGACGTAGTTAAAAACAACATCCGCGTCGTTCATCGTGTGTACGAACATAATTATGTGTCCGTTCGACGAATTATTTATTCCTTCGTTGAAGTTCTATGTTGGTTATGACTGACAAGTGCAGCGAGGGAAACGTGTACAGGAAAAGAACGCGGAACGTGTGCAACCCACCTAGTGCGGTGGTTTAGTTTAACAAATCCCGCATCGCTCGCTAGTGAAATAGATTTCATGGTTAAATTATTGGAAGAGTTGCATATAACCATTTAATACAATCCCGCGCTCTCGGTTTTAATCCGATTCCAATGTATATAAATGTGTCAAAAATGAAACCGTCACTGCGAATCACACCAGATATTAATAGATACCAGGAGTAGCTAAAACAAAGTTGAGACAAAGTAATCTCTGATCTATTCCAGGTAGATAGGAAATATTTTTATGTGGCAGTGGGAAAGCGTTTGAGAGAGAATGGACCATGCAGGTAGTAGGTAGGCCAGTGCTAGTTTAATCCATGAAATGTTTCGGAACGCAAGCACGTTCGAGCGTGCGCGCGTGCTAGCGTGCGTGCATCAGTACGTGAATTCGTGCGTGCGAATATACCAGAACTCTTTTCAGAGCACGTTCCAATGTATTAGCAAAGATTTATAAAATTTATTTTTTATGGTATGAGTTCATATCTACGTTGCATGGCACCACAGACACGACATTATTACGCAGACTGGTGGACACTCATGAAAGAACACCTGTAAAAACAAACAGCTTGATTGACAGCTATTTTATTATATAGTTTCTACACATGTACATGTATGAGATAAATTTTGCGAAAATCTCATTTGTTATGAATAATAAAATGTTTAAAGAGATAAAACTTAATAAATACATCTGTTTTATATGCTAAGCAGGGTTTTGATTTCAGAGAACTTGAATAATATTAGTTGATTAATCAAAAAGAGCAGAAAATTAGAAATATCACAGAAACCAATGTTTGAGGTTTGAAGGAAGGTCAAAATGGTGATGTTAATTTCGTTAGAAAGATTGTTAGCTGTTATTACCGTCGTTCTATAGATTAGTAAGTGGTATAACCATGTAAAGTAGAATAATGAAACTCGTACGTGTGTTAGAATGTATTGTATTTTGAATGCGTTCCGATGGTTCGATGATGCTGATTCGTTGCAAGAACGTCAGATAAAACTCGAATTGCCTACTGAAATGCTTTCCTTTTGAATCACACTATTTTCATATATACCGATCGCCTACGTTTGGTGATCGCATCGAGCAACACCGCCAAACGCGCGCCAACGCTAAACTCCAGAACGGCGTATTAAACCGTAAAATCAAAGTGTTTCTTTTTTCTTTTTTTCGAAATTTCCAATGCGATTTTTTAACGATGACGCAAGCGAGCCATCACATCATATGAATTTCACAGCTTTCCCTAGCAGATGACAGGGGTGTTGCGTTGAAACTTGGGCCAAAACACGCAGCGTATGGTGTGTGTGACGCACACCACGTCCGACTTCACACGAATGCAACGAGCGTTAGTTGCGATAGTTAGAAGGAAGGCACCCATCACCAACGAGAACAGACAAAGCAAGGCGCAGAAACAGATGCGTCCTGCGATGGGAGGAAGCGACCAGCAAAAGATCGGGAGTGATGAATAAAACAAATTTGTTTATTTTTCTATTCACTCCTGATAAGATGTTAATCACTCTGATAAATATATCGGTCTCGTTAGCTAGCAGTACTCCAGCGGAAGGGTGTTAGAGTGATGCCGTGCCTACATGCAAACGGGCTCGATTTTTTATCAGGGTGATGTGAGTAAGACGTCTCCTGAAATTCGCCCCTTACAATACGATAATGTGCCTACGTTTGGGAACGATTAAAAACGCGCGAGTAGTGTAAAACGAATATTACGGATAAATGCGTGAACATTTTAAAGACGACGACGACGACGACGACGACGATGACAACAACGACGACGACGGCGACAAGTGAGCAACCATCTAGCACAAGTAATAGCAGGCTAAGCAAAGGTTTGCAACATACAACTATTATACACGTAAACACTAACAATGACATTGCACCAGCAGCATCCTTTGTGCAGATGCGTCAATGCGCAACACTGAGCATACCATCAATTAGTAGAATATCAGTGCTGATTTATTTATATTTCAGTCTACGAACACACACTCGCACGCGCACACACACACACACACACACACACTCGCACGCGCACACGCACGCACACACACACACACACACACACACACACACACACACACACACACACACACACACACACACACACACACACACACACACACACACACACGCACGCACGCACGCACGCACGCACGGACACACACACACACACATACACATATATATATATATATAGATATGTATCTGTGTGTGCATGCGGTGTACTTTAGACACCCGAGTGTACCGTAGCACACACATGGTTTTCTATTAGCTGAATTAATTATACGAATACAAATTGATTTCGGTTAATCGAAAAATTAGGTGTACACCGCATTCATCTCAGATGGTCGCACTATTAAGAATTGACCGATTTGCGATTCGGCTGCAAGTTACGATTTCCGTAACTATCAACAATCAGAATATACACACGGCAACACACAATACATTAACGTATATCTATTCCTCGGCCCTATGGCTTTGTAGCTTGGGCAAGCTTCGGGGAGGGGGTGGCAGCGGGAAGGCAGACAGGGTCCACAGGCACAGGCGTGAAGGCGTGAAAGGCTCCACAGGGCAGTAGCCTGAATAAATTCCCAGAGCAAAGGGCGAGCAAATTTCGCCCACTCAAGCGAGTAATGAGGGGGGTAAATCATTATAGAATAAAAAATTATTAGAACGGTTCCAAAAGATAAGCTACATTATAGGACTGGATTACGTTAAATGTGGCCCGTTTGTTCTATTATTCATCATATATATTTAAGGATAATTTATAAGCATTAGGCTCATTCCTTTGTACTGCTCCATAACTTAGAGAACTGGGACAGCTGCCCCTTGCCTCAATGGCTACGGCCCTGCTCTAGAGCGGAGTCATACACAGTGACATGGTGCTCGCTTACAGACACGGTCACATGCACACATGCATCACGGCTACCTAATACAATAAGTCACCTGATTGAAGCGGTTGTGGAGGCTTCCCAGCCACTGGGGGCGGTGTTGGAGGCAAGGGGGCTGCTGGGGCGGTGGGTAGAGAAGGGGAGGGCACTTTGTGGTAGTCTCTGTCAGGTTCAGGCTGTAGAAAACAAAGCACAAGTTATCGCTCCATCTATCAACCTCGCCGACGGCAGAGGTCGCCACCGTTTATGGCGAGCCACTGCAACAGATTAGAATCATCTTCATACATCCTCATTCTCAACTACAATAGATTTCTTTAGCATTTAACATCAGCTGTTAAATGTCGTTAATACTACAGCCGACTTCCTTAAACGTATCTCCTAATGCAGAATAATAGCAGAAATGCACAAGATAGAATTGTCTTGCTTCATCATTTCTAATAATACGCAGCTGAACAAGTATTTTTAACACAACTTAACACATAATTCAATACACCACTCCTTTCGTGTCACATGCTTTCAATCAACTATCAAGATGAATCGAACTATAAGGAGTCATTCAATAATCTACAAACAGATACAACATGGTTAATTGTACATATATATGGGCAAGTTACAAGAAAAAATATAAACTATTTTATAATATCATTATTAACGCTGATCGTTATATATAATTATATATAAACGTAGACATATTATACGCACGTGTCACTGTGTATGTATATAATTTCCCTTGTACCACTATATATACCATTTTCTTATCCTGCGGACACTAAACCACGTCTAGCCACCATGGCTCCGAGCTCTAACAAAACACTAGTTTCTACTGCGATCCTCACACACAACTCACGTCACTTGCCCTGGTGTCGCTAAAACACTAAATGTCCACTTACAGCCACCACGCAAATATTCAACACTGTCCACTTAGCTTGAACGAGTCATCACAGCAATATACCAAAACCGTGACGTTGTTACGTACAAATCTATAGGTACACACGGCACATTATTTTACTTCTACTCGTAGCAACACCAAGTACGAGTTTAGAAGGCTGAAGTATGTAGATGGATTAGCTATAGCCACGTCTAAGACAGACTTCTCTAGCATTATTTACTCATGGCTAAAACAATTCAAATGTCTAGTATATGTGACAGACAACTAGCATCTAAAGCAAGGTAAAAGTCAGCATGGCAGATCCATTTCCGACGAGCCACCACTAACTGCATGCTATACTTGATGGAAGTACGACTCGGGTCTCACTTCAACTTGCTAGCAGCAAAACCCGGTACGTTACTCATTGAAGATCGTCACATCCTTTCGAAGAAGCCAAGCTGGCTAGAAATGCTCATTGCTTACGTAGTTGTAGCCATCGCTAGCCACATATGGCTTCAAGATGGTGTAGGGTATATGCCCGATCTTGCCATACGCATTTCGTCCTTTCCACCAGTTTCTGTTGTCATCGATAATCTAAAGGCAAACAGCGGTAATTTCGTCATGTTTGGCAGTTCGAAAACTGTCTCGCGGCACGCTTCCAAAGGTTTCAGTTTTCACATTCTAAATCCGTTTCGAAATTAATTTGAAAGCTTTTGGTGCAAACCTATTCAGCCATTACTATGGCACTAATAGCAAGTAAATTTTCAACAAAAAAGAAAGTATATATGCTAACTTGCAAACAAAATATCAGAAGCGTAGCTAACCCATTTTGCCTGGAGAGGTGAGGTGGGGTCAGCTATGTGTATGGTGTGTTATGGGAATGTGCAGCCATTGACCATGTATTATCTCTACTTTTTTTCTGGAGGCCCAACTGCCTCCCTTGCCCCCCCCCCCCTAGCTACGGCCACTATACTAGTACATATATATACTTACCTCTAGGTACTCTCCTTTTGACACTGTCAACTCTTTCTCATTCTTGCCAACTCTGTCATATGTAACTTCGAATATCTTCAAATTATTCTGCCTAAGTTGCTTGAGGAATCGTGCCTGCGTGGCATCAAAGTCCATGTCTGCGGTCTCATTCATAACTGGCTGCTTGGCACTCCTAGACGAAAAGGCAAGAGGTATATACATGTCGCATTACGTGTGCATTCATAACGGTGCACGACGCAATAGACGCAATAGGCAGGGAAAGCCACAGACACCATAACCAGCTAGGAAGAGGGACACAGAAACCACGTTCACGGGAGACCTACCTATACCCCACGAACAGAGCAAGAGACACCATGGACAAGTGTGCCACAAACACCATAGCTAAGGGAGGCCTACAAACAACATCGTATGCAGTAGAACGACTACATCCAATATAGGGCTGGTGTTACAGCCACTGTGACTGGGGCGTGTTACCGTCGGAGGGGCCGCGGTGTGCTTACATGTGTGCAGGTAGGACCTGCACGGGCGGTGGGTCGTACTGCGACGACTGCTGGCTCTGCTGACGTTCGTAGTGACGGTCGTCGTATCTCGCCGACTCCCGCGCGCGCTCCACTGGCCTGTAGTCGCTGATGCTGCCCCCTTTCTGCTCGTACCTATAACAACAAACATGTAATTGACTAGGCGCCATCTAGCGCTTGCCGGCCAGCATCCGCCATCTTGAGAGACTACATAAGTTTCAACAAAGACAAAAACAACCACAAAACTAAAAACCAACTGGTGGTCAATAACCTGGAGTCGACAGTTTTTACCCGAAGTCCTGAAAGCCAAAAGTTACCGACACACTAGACGAATATCGTCAAAGTCAGCGATTGGCAATAGATTTTTAAGTTATCGTATAAGTTAAATTGCGTTAACTGTCCGCTTGACCGATGAGCGACTGTCGGGGACAAGGGGACAAGGGGCTTAATCCAGGGGCATCACACTCTCTAGTGCCAGCTGGGAGGCTCTTCTGCAAATGCGTCCAGCTATCAGTCACGTCCGCCCGCGTCGTCGTTGTCGTGAGGTTCGCCTCGTACCTGTCGTCGTAGCGAGAGTCGGAGCTGTGACGCTGTCTCTCATAGCGGTCCTGCTCGTAGCGCGGGTCGGGCGTGTAGACGGCGTACTGAGGCTGGTTGGAGTAGCGGCTGGCCGTGTCGTCATACTGCCGCGAATATTGATGCCTGTCCTCGACCTGACACGTTGCACAATGAGAAAAAAAGGTAAGAAAACATCGATAGACACCCTGGCTATTAAACAGGCTGTCAACTACGAGTGACGAGAGAAGGGTAAAGATAATATCAGGAGTGAATAATAATAGATCTATTATTATGCACTCCTGGTTATATTATGTTCTTAACGATGATGCCAGATAATGAAACTGGTGATAATGACGATGCTGATATCTCTGAGTCTCACTACAAAATTAACAGTATTCACTGGAACATGTAAACGTAGATAATTCCTAATATAAAGTCCTATATTGGAATAACCCCTAACGACACACTACGCTCTGAGGAACACTATCCCGAATCTTCTATAAGCTGGTATCTACTAACGCAATGGCACGGAGGTCTTTCCACACATATTTTACTAGCAAAACGGCAGTTGTGGTCCCCCTAACGCTTCAAGCTGCCAGAACCACCAGCTTTCACAATCGCTCTACGTACTGACGTAACGTAACCATGCAACGTACAACGTGCATCATACATATAACCATCAACATCCAGCATCACAACAGCATCATAATCCTCCTCCATCGATGGAGGATGCTGTTGTGGTGCTGCATGGTTATGATGGAGGATGCTGTTGTGGTGCTGCATGGTTATGATGGAGGATGCTGTTGTGGTGCTGCATGGTTAACCATGCAGCACCTCAACAGCAACCTCCATCATAACCATGCAGCAACGTGCGCGCGCGAAGCAATAACAGTCAGAATCACGACGACGACGACGATGACGACGAGTGGCGGATGACGATGACGATGATGATGACAATGACGATGACTAACCTCGATGTCGGTGACGAGCTGCGGTGGAGGACCGGTGTTGGCGGCAGAGTAGTGTGACCGCTCTCTGTCGTCGTACTCCACGGGCGCGGGCGACCAGCCGTCGGCGAACACGGGGTGGTACGGATGCACGTAGCCCTTGTATAGGTGCCTGAAGCAAGCGACAGGGCGACGTGGTTGCGAACCAAGCGACAAACCTATTGGGGGCATCACTGAGACTGAGATGAGGAGCACGTCGAGACTTGCTCGGAGAAACAAGGGCGATGGTATCCGCCTTCAGATTACTTCGTACTGTTTACGGATGATGCAAGATGTTCTCCCGGTGATTCGTGCATCACATCCTGCTTCCACCATCGCCACCACTAATCTTCACTCGCTCATCCATGCATCTCAACCAGTCAAACTTAGCAGCATGACCCTCACACCCGCACCCACACCTGCATAAGTTTTAGACCCACCCACACCTGCATGCCCTTACCTGGGAACCGTACATGACTTGGAACGACTCCAAATGCCTGGTCCTCCGCTACCACTTCAACAATCACCCGATTCTACTATCTTCACCCCTTACTCCTTAACCCCACAATTTCAATCTTGCCCCCAGACATTACCATCTCAAAATTTACCACTTAACACCCCCATCTCAACATCTATCACTTCACACCACCACGTCAACCTTACTCCCAAGACATTACCATCTCAAAATTTACCACTTCACACCACCATCTCAATACCTACCACTTAAAACCATATCTCAACCATCGACACCTGAACACCACTGTCTCAACGTTTACGATGCTATGCCATTCTCTCATTATTTACTACGCAACACCATTGTCTCAACATTTACCACTTACCCACACACTCTCAACCTTAAACACATGAACACCACTGTCTCAACGTTTACCGTGCAATACCATTCTCTCAACATTTATCACGTAACACCACCATCTCACCATTAACTACTCAAAGCCATTATCGCAAACCCTCACCCCTTGACACCTCCATCTCATCGACCCCCCCCCCTCCCCCGCACTTCTCCCGCCCTCGCTACTCCCCTCCTCACCTGGGCACGGTCCACGACTCGCCCAGCGACTCCCACAGCTCGGCTTCCTTCGACGTAAGGCAGTTGAGCAGCATGTCGATGGCGCGCGCACTCAGCAGCGGTGCGACGACGCGAGCCGGCAGGTTGGCGCCGTAGCGCGAGTCGCGGCACGCGTCGACGATGAGCGCGAGCGGCGTGAAGAGGAAGTGGATGAGCTCGGGAGCGTTCGGGTCGTGAATCTGGTTCTTCAACTTGGCCAGCAAGTTGAAGGCGAGCTTGAACTTCTGGAAGACGTCGGCGAACTGCTCCTCGGGCGGCGGCTGCGCCCGCATCGCCAGCATGCCGTCTGTGTGTGAGAGAGAGAGAGGGAGGAGAGAGAGGGGGAGAGGGGAAAAGGGAGAGAAAGGGAGAGAACGAAAGGAGCAGGAAGAGGGAGAGAGAGAGAGAGAAAGAAATGAAGAGGGAGTGGGCAAAGAGGGAAAGAAAGAAAGGAACAGGAAGAGAAGGAGAGACGGAGAAAGAGGGAGGGAGAGAAAGGAGCAGGAAGAGAGAGAGAGAAAGAGAGAGATTACGGTACAAGAAGAGGGAGAGAGAGGAAGAGAGGAGGCAAAAAAGAAAGAGAAGGAGAGGAAGAAAAAGAGGGAGAGAGTGATAGAGTGAGTGCGCGAGGTGGAGAGAGAGTGAGAGAGAGGATGATATTATAACATTTTATTCTGATTTTATTACGAAAAAATGGAACAATTTGTTTGCTAGCATGCAAGTAAAACATTCTTTAAGATGAGAACGTTCCCCTCAACATGATAAACATCACCCCAGCGCAAGATAAATGATTAATTCATAGAAATTATGTCCCCTACCTTTCTTATCATTACATGTAATTATAAATACATACTATACTTATAGATCAACATGTATATTGTTAAATATATAAAGGAAATAGTATTTCTAATAGATCTGTTCGTGTTTCCTCCTGATTCACCGTTCTGCAGCTTCCTACAAGTTCCACTCGTGTTTAAGGCACCACCGGCTTGCAATTTGCACCGACCTACCTCCCTGACTCTTCTTCTTGTTCTTCCTGCTCTTGCGCCTGCGCTCCAGCTCCCTGTATGCCGCGCTGGCCTGCTGCAGCTTCGCGATGAAACGCTCCACGTCATCAAAGCAGTGATTCAGCACGACCTGCCGAGCGAAGGAGCATGATGAAACCACGCAGCCGCCATGCATCACGCGAGACGCGGGAAACCACGCGGCAGCCATCACGCGAGACGCGGGAAACCACGCGGCGGCCATCACGTGAGACGCGGGACAACACACGACGGCCATGACGCGAGACGCGTGACACCACGTGGCGGCCATCACGCAAGACGCGTGACAGCACGCGGCGGCCATCACGCGAGACGCAGGAAACCATGCGGCAACCATCACGTGAGACGCGGGACACCACACGGCGGCCATCACGCGAGACGCGTGACACCACGCGGCGGCCATCACGTGAGACGCGTGACACCACGCGGCGGCCATCACTTAAGACGCGGGAAACCACGCGGCAACCAGTCAAGCATTGGCGCCGATGGTGGACATTATGTAGTTTCAAATAATCACGCGGCAAAATAATTAAACACTGCAAATGAAAGCAGATGAAGTGGAAACACGTGTTATTAACGTCGAAATTAAAATTCGTTGCCGTTCGTTTGTCCGGTTCAACTTGCGTTTATATACCGCCGTTGTATGCCAGGTGCTTGCAGGCATATTTAATAACAAGAGCAATTATTAGCTCTTGATAATAATAATAATAATAATAATAATAATAACGAACATGGCTTCTAAAATTTAATGGACACGTAACGTATTTAAATTCGCTCAATTAACTGATTAACCAGTAAAAAGTTGTTTTTAAGGTGACACTACATTTGATAGATCGGTTGGAATATGGCTACAACAAGAAATTTTATGTAAGAATGGCTTGACCCAAGCCAAGTTTCGCACCCCGGATTAGTTTAGCACATTTGCCGGGGTCCCAAACTGCCCTTGATCCGATGTCTTTGTACCAGCAGCACCAGTAATTATGTGATTAATTACCTCGCCTCATGGTATGTACACTTGCATTTAAATGGTACGTGCTGCAAACGTGCGCACAAGTTTCGTTAATAGAAGAGAACGCGGGGGCATTTGCGGCAGGTATCATAGAACTCGCACGAGGCTCGAGGTGAATGGGGAGAGGGGGTAGAGAGGACACAAGCAGCTAGCAAACAAGAAATTGCCGATAGATAAATGATGACAAGCAGTCGGCAATTTTCAAGGGATATCGAGTGTTATGCGTTCTAATCACTAAACTGCTACCTTTAACCGATCTCTGTCGCAATTTTACATGCCACTAATTTCCAGCTAAATGTTCGTCACATACATAATCATAACTCATTCACTACCCAGGATATAATTATAAAGAGTAAAAACGCCAATATATCATGGTCATTAACTATGATGTACAGAAGATAGATGGTGGTGGAAAGGCCAATGACTCAAAGTTCAAACAAATTTCTGTTGTGACCAAAACATATTATCAGGAGTGTATAATATAGAGATATATGAGATCTATATTATACACTCCTGCTATTATGTACATCTATGATTTGCCCTAAAGACTATAATTTACAATAATCGTGCATCTTCATTAGAAATTACAAACGTTTAAAAACATGGTAATTTTGTTTACAGTTGATGGCGAAAAAGCCAACTGCAAGTATGGAGGAGATAAACGCTTTAATGAGTTCTGACAAGGATATTATACGCCCACTGCATTTTCCCTGGAAGCGGGGGTAAATTCCATAACGTTATGCAAGCAATACAGCAATAGTAATTAACGTGGTTGTTTATAGTCATTTACCGTTTTTCCCGAATGTACTGTGCTGCCGTAACAGTATGACTGCAAACACTCACCACGTCACGCTCTGTCGTGTCACTGGACAGTGAATCGGCATCAAAGTCTCGCACGACAGAGCCATACTGTCGGCTATCAGTCATCCGTTGTTGCATCCGCGACGATCCGCCTGAAACACACAACCACGTATCAGAAGAGCTAGAAATGCATTAGGGAGCACGTGCGCAAACAGAAACAAGAGCAAATGCAATGCGTAAAACAGGTTTCACCGGGCAAACCCCTTCATGATGTATATATTAATATATCTGCGCATTCCAAAAAGTCATTTTTAACCAATTCCAGTTTATAATCCACGGGTTTTTTGCCAAAAACGTGCTTGACCTGGAAGTAAATTCTATCAAACCAATTCCTTCACCAAGTTCTAGTATAAGGGCTCTAGAAACACCATTTAAAAGTTGAAGACTCTACCTATTGGGGGGAATACTTGAAAATTTATTTTCTACCAGCTCCCCGATTTTTCAGAAATCGATATCTCAGCTTAGGCGGCACCTACAGAGCTGAACAACCACTTCAAAATGATCAGAATAGTCGAATTATGTCAGACGGAGCATGGTTTAGAAGACCCAAAACCTTTACTTTTCGAGAAAAAATTTCATTCCTACGCGAGTACAGTCCGACCTCCTTTATCCGGCTACGTCGGGACCGGCACCCATCCGGATATGATTATTTGTAACAAACTGTCGTGTTTTATGGTTTATATGAAATGGAAATAAAATGAAATAAAACCATGAAATTTTACCACTTCGGTTTATGTTTGTTTCCTTTGTGTTGAGATCTAGGGCTGTAACGATCGATACACTCGCGTATTCAGTGCAGCGGTATACCGGTATTGCGATATTATCGCGGTGTAATATTTTAGAATTACCATACCGTAACCAGTTCAATACCGTGGTTTTCTTGTTGACATGTGATATACACGTGTACAGTGATGTCACGAAAATCTGACACAGCCATGCCGCGTATTTCCAGCCATGTGCGCGGCAGCGGCGCCTTTGATTGAAGTACGGGGCTCGATCGATCGCGAGTGCGTATAGCGCGTTTCACTAACGTCCGCTAGTAAAAGTTGTTTGTTAACGGACGAAATTGTCTGGAGGCATAGCGGACACGAGCGGACAACACACACGCACGCGCGCACGCACGCACGCACGCACGCAAACACACGTACAGTTGGTACATCGCGCGAGTTTTGAGCGAGATTTTTAGGTGGAAATAAATGAAAAAACAGAGAACATACACTGCGAGATCGCGGCCGGTTAATAGAGATTTCCGGATAACGGATGGCCGGATAAAGGAGGTCGGACTGTAGCTTATAAAACCGGAATTTCAACATATATGATCAAAACAAAACAATTCAGTAATCATTGTTGCTACTGTGACGGCGGCATAGTTTTCAGATAGTGTCGGTAACACAGAAGACTGAAGCTCCCATGCAGGAACAGCGATTATCGGTTTCGATCCACCGCTCTGGAAGCTTGCCATGATAGTCAAGCATGAGATGCTGCTGAAGCTGATATTTCTACTTGGAAACTTCCATACCCAGAGCAGTTTTCTGGGAAGCATGGGCTATGTCATGAAAAACAGTGGGTTAGCCCAGGCATTCTCAACTGTGTATGGGGAGGAGCCAGTAAAGAAGATACTGAATGGGAAGTCATACGAGAGAGCTATCAGGGCTCACGGGCTGACAACATCAGTGTTGAAAAAGATGCTGATAGAACAGGTGGATGAAAAAGACACATATGCTGTTAAAGCTGCCTCTGAGTATCTACCATCCCGCATGGAGAACAATAAATCAGCATTTGACCCAAAAACATTGAAGGATGCACCAGTTGTTGCTAACCTCATGGAAGTACTCCAGTAGGTGAAAGCTGCAGTCTCTACTTCGGGTACAAACCAGCTGTATCTCAGTCACGTACATAACCATGTATGATATTCTGCTGAGAAACTTGCATGCTGAGCGTCTGGGAGACTGGGAGGAATACCTAACGTCTCTAAAGCTGATGCTCCCCTACCTGGCTGCAACAGGGCATAGAGCATACACCAAGTGTGTGTACTGGTTCATCGAGGAGATGGAGAACCTCGATGATTGGACTCTGTCAACATTCAAGAAGGGTCACTTTGTGGTTAGAAGGAGTGACAGGCCCTATGCTGGTGTTTCCGTGGATCTAGCGATCGAACAATCATTGATGACAACACTGAAAGGTAATAGCGGGTTAACTCGAGGGAGAGGTTTTAACGAGCTCAACTATCTAATCTGGGTTCTCTCCCGACCTGTAGTAACTACAATCGACACCAAGGTAAGAGAGATGACGGGGGTTGACTTACGAACTACGGAACAAAGCTCCGGTGAAGCAAGTCAAGGTGAAGCAAGAAGGAAGTACTCGGTTGAAGCACGATTTAAACCACATGACTCTCATCGAGAATTACTTCTCAGACAGACGTTTGTTTGATCCGAATGTCAAGCACACACATATGATGAATCTCGCAACTGGTTTTGTAGCTCCAAAGGAAGTGAATGTTCACAAAGCTTACGATGATGGGTTGCTCATTCTTGAGTCAATGGTAGGACAAAATCCTCTAACTCTAACCGTCAAGAAAACATCTTTGGCTGTTCAAATACCTTCAAAAAGTGTGGTCAAAGTTGCTGACTCCACTAAGAGTATAAACGTCGATCCCCAGCTGTTTTTTCAGCGTGCTCTCAACTTCGCATCATCTGAAGAAGTCAATGCAACACTAGAGGAGTGCTTGGAGTACGAGTTATGCTCGTTATCGATGCCCCTTTTTGATGTTAATGGCTACATGAGATCGACAGCAAAGGCATACTTAGTAACGTATCTTGCAGAAGAGTATTCACTTGACGTTGAAGTCGGAGTTACTCTACTGAAGGGCGATGTTGCTAGGATCGTATTGGCTGGTGGCTGCCTTCTACACGTACAAAAGAAAGAACGTCGGCCAAGATATGTGGAGTATCATCTTCATACGGAACATGTTTGGTGATCTTCCGGATCCCACATGTGTTTGACGGGTATCTCAAGCTCAACAAAGCGATCATTGCCACCAGAGAAGACAGCAGTAGAAGCACTACCTTCGCAGTTCTGCCTCGACAAAGAAGCTTCTCTGCAAACAGCAGGGTATTCCTGTCCAATGCGGAAACAAGCAGAACTTCGTGAATGCTCTTGCGAAATCATTGAAGTAGCTGCTGCAACACGAAGGGTTCATAGTCCTGATGATCCGAACTTTTGGAGTAGTGTACTGAAGGCTAATTACAGAAGTGGAGCATGCCTAATACTGTTCTGGCAGGTGACGAACGGAGTCTGCGTGTTACTTTGAGTCGATTTAGTTCAAAGCCAGGTGAATGGATAAAAAAACCAACAACATCTACGATGTTCCGCCGTCTTCAATAGCTGTGTCGGATATAAGAAAAGGTAGACAAATGGCCTGATGCCTTGATCGAGCAGATATTGTTCATTCATGCCGCTTCAGGCTGTGACACAGTCTCATCACTTGCCGGCATCGGAAAGACGAAACTTGCAAAGGCAATTGTCAAAGACAACAGTGTATTGGAATGTAGCGTATTCTACGAGGAGCACCCTTTTTGATTTTGATGTCCTGGAGCATATGAGGAGTTACATTTTGTCCTACCTATATAACTCCAAAGGTGTCCACGATTCACTCGAGGATCTCAGACTTTGGTGAGTACTTAATTTACAGTACTGACTCGAGTAAACACTTTGCTTTAAGATTGGTTTATGACTGCAATATATTATGTTCAATTGAACAGTCTATTAGTATTATGAATGAAATTGCTAAAACCTTTATAATAATTAAATCTAATTATCTTAATCATGATTAATTTCAGGATTTACAGGAGAAAGTTGAATGGGGGGAAGAAGGCTATTCAGTAAAAGGACCTTCCTCCTACGTCTGCTACTGCTTATCAGCATATTCTGAGGATTTACCTTCAGGTGAGGTCAAGGTCCAGTTCTCTTTTTTGCTTTAGAAAATAGATGGTCGATTTAACTTCAATCGTTAAATAACTTTTAATCCTAAAAGCAACACAATTTTTCATCAGGTCCAGCAATGGTTCGGGAACAGCCTTGAGCCAGAAGAATACGGCTGGGAGAGATGTGGCAGGATGCTGGTACCTGTGCAAGGACATTTAGACGTCTGCCCGGAAGCTATCAAGAAGATACCTTATTGTGCCTGCAAGTCTGTGGAAACAACCAATGTAGCTGCAGAAAACATGGGTTATTCTGTACTGACATATGTGACTGTGATCACGCATGCTGCGAGAACAGTACTGGTGTAGACGAAGAAGAAGACCAAGATTGCGATGAGGATAATGATGAAAACTTTGAATCTCAAGATGAGGGGGATGATTGTTCTCCGAGTTTGATGATGAACATATAATCTGTAATCGCTCTGATATAAGACTCCCTTTGCACTATTTCTCTATCTTTTCTAGTGTTTAAAGTGTTTTATTCTAAAGAAGTGACAAGTAAATCTAAGTAGAATCAATCTACTAATCTAGCTCATGACATTAACTGTATTGTATACAATATCATCAATCGTTGGTTCAGAATGATTATTGAAGTTTCTTCTGTTCATATATGTTAAAATTCCGGTTTTAAGCTACTCGCATAGGGATGAAAAACGCATTTTCTCGAAAAGTAAAGGTTTTGGGTCTTCTAAACCATGCTCCGTCTGACATAATTCGACTATTCCGATCATTTTGAAGTGGTTATTGAGCTCTGTAGGTGCTTCCTAAGCTGAGATATCGATTTCTGAAAAATCGGCTGAAAAGAAGAGTCGGCAGAAAATAAATCAAACTTTTAAGTATTCCCCCCACTAGGTAGAACTTGGTGAAGGAATTGGTTTGATAGAATTTACTTCCAGGTCCAATGCAAATAACCGGTGGATTATTAGATATAAAACAAACTATTTTAGTTACATCAATAGAACTGAACATGGTAATTGGTATAATTGACGCGTATTTTATGTATGTTTGTCTTTTGCATCGGGCTCCAAGTGGCTGCTGCACTTTGCCCCAAGGCTGGCACCGACTGTGAAATCTGAGAGTGTTAAATGCTCCAATTTGTCATTTAGTGCAGTTCAGATATCATCTATATGATTGCCTGTCTGCCACACGTATGTCCGTCCTCAACCTCTTAATTATCGATATTAGTAATGGTTTATAATAATAATAATATTAATACTGGTTATGATTTCTCTCGTGTATATAGGAACTCACCACTATTGTATGCGGACGACATGCCATTGATAGGTGGGTCGGGTGGTGGTTGGCTCGGAGCAGGGGGAATGGGTGCCGGATGATAGCCATGTCCCTTCAACCTTTTGCCCGCTTTCAATCGTTTGATCTCTTCTTGTATCTCTTGAGCCTAGAGAACGAATACACGAAATCAGTTGGGAGCGAGCATAATCGGAGAGAGTAAATGGTTGGTGGCCCAGCACCAAGCTTCAGCAACCTTTTCCCCACACATGGCAATTTTTCAGCTTTACAGAGTTGGACGAAGCTTATGACGATCACTCGTAAGTCGAAACTAGTTGCTTATTTGCTAAGTTGCTAGCTCAGTGGCATTGAGTAACAAGATGGTAGAATGGTACACATGGGGCAGTGCAATGGCGTTGTATCACGTACAGACAGTCGAGGGATTCCCTTCACACACAACCATCGAGCCCCAGTGACATATCGCATTTTAAAGCCAGGCCAAACACGGTAAAGTTTGGTATTAGCATTCAGGGGGCTCTTATAGTGCCGCCGCCAACTCCGCGCAGCCGCCCTCCCATGCACCATACCAAAATTGTGTGTTTTAACACATTTTAAAGCCAGGCCAAACACGGTAAAGTTTGGTATTATTATTCAGGGGGCTCTTAAAGTGCCGCCGCACTCACGGATATCGCGAGGCACTGGAAGATGTGCATCTCGCTCGGCGTGGCGTTCTTCTTGTCTCCCTGCACAGTGAAGACGAGCATGTTGTTGTAGTCCTCCTTCGGCTCGTGCGTGACGAACGCCGTCGGCTCCTGCAGCATGCTCAGCGGGATCTCCTCGACCGGGTCCTGAAGAGGAAGCCGCGGGTCGATGAGAAGCGCCGGGACGACGAGGCAAGACGAAGAGGGAAAGGGAGAGGATGCTGAGGAGGAGGAGGAAAGGGAAGAAGAGGAGTAAGACGCGAGGGGTGAGGATGAGGAGGAGGAAAGGGAAGAAGAGGAGTAAGACGCGAGGGGTGAGGATGAGGAGGAGGAAAGGGAAGAAGAGGAGTAAGACGCGGGGGGTGAGGATGAGGAGGAGGAAAGGAAAGGGAAGAAGAGTAGTAAGACGAGGGGGATGAGAAGGATGAAGAGGGGAAGGAGCACGAGGAGGAGGAGGAAGAAGAGGAGGTGGTGGAGGATGAGGAGTAGGTAGAGCTGCAGGATGAGTAGGGGGGGTGAAAAGGATGAAAAGCAAAAGCGCCAGGCAGAGAAGGATAATAAGGTGGAGGATAGGTGGAGTATGAGACGGGAGAAACGTGAGGGGAGCAGCAGTTCTACCACAAGTAATGAGCAGCAGCAGCAGCAGCAGCAGCAGCAGCAACAGCAGCCACAGCAGCAGCAGCAGCAGCAACAACAACAACAACAACAACAACAACAACAACAACAACAACAATAACAGTATGAGCAGCAGCAGGAGAAGGTAGGAAAGGATATGGAAAAGGAAAAAAAGGTATCCCGATGAGCAGGATACCATGTATCCAGGATATCGGGGAAGAGAATCGATCACCACGAGGCACAGAAGAAAGGGTGTGAAATACTTACCCCGTTTACTGGGTTGCAGATCAGGATGAACTTGCGCTCCAAGCGCATCAGCATCCTCTGTGGCCAGATGCCGCTCGATGACTCCATCATGCGCAGCTTCCTGATGCCGTCTGCAGGCCACAGCAGCCCTGCAGCACAAGCGCAGATACGTACAGTCTCGCAGCGACGTGTGTGCTGCATCGCGATGATGAAAGCGACTTCGCATATTACACACACATCACGCTTACGTTGATTCCCCTTCATCCAATCTCGTGCAAAAGATATTATCTTTGTTGTGTGCGTGCGTGCGTGCGTGCGTGCGTGCGTATACACGTACACACGCGCGCACGCACGCACGCACGCACGCACGCACGCGCGCACGCACGCACACACACACACACACACACACACACACTCACACTTAACTGTTCAAACATGGCGATTATAATTACCGTGGCTGTGTCCGAGCAGGCGTTAGTAGAGCTCAAGGGGTCGTTGTCGTAACAGGTACTACAGATATGTACCCGAGGTACATATATGTATACACAAAGCAGGCCCGTAGCCGAGGGGGGGTTCGGGGGGTTCGAACGAACCCCCCCCCGAGCCCGTCCCCCCTCCACCCCACCAAGGAAAAAATTAATAATTGAAAATTTTGCCCGTTAAGATTCAACCTCAGGTTCGCAGCTCCATTTAGTTAATAAATTGCAAAAGTGTCCCTTCGTGTGCGGACGGTAAATCATGCACACCCCACACCCTCCCCCACGCTCGGATGCTGCATGGCTCCTCCACTGGTCGCGTTCGCGCCCCGAGCAGGGCGGATTTGGGTCCAGGATCCGGTACTCGCCCCTTGCTCGTGCAGAAAACGCATCTGAGGTCTAGATTGTTAAAAAAATTCCTGGATAGCCCCCCCAGATCGCCCCTTTCGTTGTTCGCGAACTGGTCACGGTTAGACCCCCCCGCCCTGGTACAATCCTGTACCCCCCCTGCCGGACGCAACAGTTCCCACATTGAAAAACAACACCCCCAATAGAAACCTGGCTACGGGCCTGCACAAAGTAAACGCGAGACCATAAAACTAACCCAACCGCTAACTGCCTAGAACAACTCTTCATATAAAAAATATAAAACATAATCACTCAACACCTAAAACTACCTCGGGTACATATCTGTAGTACCTGTTACGACAACGACCCTTCGTGCGTTAGTAGAGTCTTAACTTAGTTACAAACATCGTGTAATTATATTTACCGTGGCTGTGCCCGACAGAGAACGTGGCGAGATGGTCGAGCGTGTAGACGAGCCCATCGTCGTTCTTGCTGACGATGCTGTGCTGGTCTGAAACAACGATGCAATCTAACGTCACTGAACGTCGCACGACTACGTCGATGCTTCACAACTGGTCGCGTGGATACTCCTAGTGTACTCTACCCGTGGAGCCCTTTCCCTCCCGCTACAGAAAGCTTCAACCCTCCCATCGATCCCTCCTGCAACTCCTGCTTTTCGCTCCTCCCCCGCAGGCGCAAATGTTTCCAAACAACAGACTAGGAAGCTTCCTGTAGCGGGAGCGAAGGGGTTACACGGGTAGCGCTAGTGTACTAATTGCGTAATAATATTATGTTTAAAGACAAAAGCCAGCGTTAGCCCGACCAGGCTGTATGGTTGTCTGTTATGGTTGTCTGTTATGGTTGTCTGTGTGGTTGTCTGTATGGTTGCTGTATGGTTGGTGGTTACGCTGTAGGCTTGTGTGAAGAGCAGGTAAACTGTTTATGTTACATACACATCGTAGTTTGTGCTTTTGGCTGTGTTGTGTGTATCTCCACGCAGCGATAAGCGAGATTGTCACTTACGGCTGGACTAGGTTGGTGCGTACATTCAGACAAACGTATTTGATACTCGAGTATGTCTCCAACCTTCCCTCGATCCCTCCTGCAACTCCTGCCTTTTTGGCTCCTCTCCGCACGCGCAAATATTTCCCAACTTGCTTTGAATAAATCTGACTACTCATTCATAATACAAGTAAGTCTCGATACAAAAAGAATACTGGCAACAAGGTACTTAGTCGTAATACGTAGGAGCAGCGCTGCAAGCAGTCCCAGGCAGTAGCGAGGCAAGTTAGTGTACAGTAAGCAGCAGTAAGGTATTAGCGAGGCATAGCCATAGTGGGTACAGTATAGCATAAGCAGCAGAATTAGTAGTAGTGCAGCAGATTAGCACAGAATAGTAGTACTAATAGCACAGTGAGCAGTCGATAGCAGCCAGTAGCAGCAGTACATAGATACAATCAGGTAGTATCCGTAGTTACAGTAGTATAGTCAGCAGCGTAGCAGATAGCAAGTAGGCAGTATGAGTAGCAGCAAGCCATGCAGCAGCAGTATAGGGAGGCAACAGCAGCAGTAGGAGTAGCAGTAGTAGGCATAGCATATATACAGTTACTTAGTAAGTAGCAGAAGCAGCCGCGCGCGGTAGCAGCACTTCACAACATTTATTACGCGCGCAGATCTCCCCAACTCCGTGAATATAAACATCTCAAGAACATCGTAATAGGATTAGAAACGCTACCTACTATCTAGAGACTAGCTCCAATTACCAGTCTTTCGGGGGGCCGGCAACCATCACGGTGCTAACGCCCAATCAGCGTCAAAAACCATACGCATTGCATGAAATAATACATGAACCGTTTCGAGCTGTCTCTTCCGATATCGGAAAAACCATTACAGTGGCCAGTTATCAGTAACTTCCGCAGTAATCGTACATGTAGACATTGCAGAGTCTTGAGGCAATGGCCGTACGTAGGTACTTCTAATATATCATTCTTTACTACATGGTCGGAACCGGACTGTTAACAGGGATCACCCACGTAGGGTTAGAACGATGGTAGCTACTTACATAACTATAACAGCGCTTGTTATTGCTGCTTGCTGTTTGCCGTTGCTGTGCTGTTGTTGCGATTGCTGCCGCTGCTGCTAGTGCGTGTAGCTGCTGCTATTGCTGCTGTGTGTTGTTGTGCTGCTGCCTGCTGGCTACTGGTTGCGGCTAGTGCTGCGCTGCTGCAT